TATACATAATTTGATTTAATAATCCAATTTGAAGCAAAAACAGAATGTTCTGACTAGCTTTGTGAAATTATACTACATGCCTGAACTAAGCAAACAGCAGAAGCTCTGAATGAGAGGCAGATTCTCTCTCTGACAGCAGGAGGCGCTTCTGGAACAGCAGATACAGCGTTTCCTTGGTTATCGCAGTAAACAAAGCAGAGCTGCTCTGAAACACTGCTTTAATGTGAATTATATCATTATATTATATGAGATGAAAAGAAAATACCATCTAAACGTTTCTGAAGACAGTCAGTTCCCCTCAGAAACACATTCATATAAACCCCCAAATCAATATTAAGGATTTTCTTCCAATAGTTCGTGCATCATGAACAGTGAGTGATCTGCCTGCTACAGTATTTTTCTCTGCGCGTCCATCTTCAGCGTCTCTGGCCTGTGTTAACGGGCGTTTACGGACTTCATATTTTCACATAAATGACATTTGAAAAATGATATGCATTGCAACGCAGTTTGTGTAAGTCCAGAACAGAGATCGGCTGCAATAAAACAATAAACAGCCAGTTGCCGATCACGTAAGTTCCAGAGGAAGCTCCTTCGGCCGTCATACACACACGTGACTGACCGCTCGCTCGCACCAACAGGAGGAGGAGGGTTGTGTTACTCTCTACACTGCACTCAACCTGAAGGGATTCCTACACTTTCAGTCTTTGAGGAGACATGAAAAACAGCGCATACTGCAGGAACAGTATAACAGAAATGATGTATATAGGTTTTGAGACTGTGAAATTTTCAAATCGCGGTATACCTTGAAACCGGTAATCGGCACTTGCCTACTAGTATTGAATGTTCATCTATGTGCTACGTGAGTGTTTGCCTGCCCCGTATTTCCCCGAAGTGAAGATTAAAGACTGTGTTTTGAGTTTACGCTTGTGTCTCCTCGCTCCTCAGAGTAGTGCAATGTGACAGAATACCAGACCAGAGACAGTAAGCGGCGCCCCTTCTCCCCGTGTTTGTTTTTTTGTTTTGTTTTCCTGTTTTCCCCCAGCGGCATGGAAACCGCCGCACACTCCGCCGCTCAGGCCCGCCGGTCGCGCAGTTGTCAAGCCCGCTAGCCGCTCCGAAGACAAGCTTGCCGGTCGCGCAGTTGTCAAGCCCGCCAACCGCTCCGAAGACAAGCCTGCCGGTCGCGCAGTTGTCAAGCCCGCCAGCCGCTCCGAAGACAAGCCTGCCGGCCACAGCTCACTCAAGCCCGCCGGCCTCTCCGAAGACAAGCCCGCCGGTCGCGCCGTTGTCAAGCCCGCCAGAGCTCGCTCCAGCCCCTGAGTTTGCTCCAATGCCTGCTCCTCGAAAGCGCCTTGCTGTGCCTGCTCCTCCAGAGCGCCCTCCAGTGCCAGCTCCTCGTAAGCGCTTCCCAGTAGCCGAGTTTAGCCCACGGAGGGCTCCTGTTCCCGAGTTTAGCCCACAGAGGGCTCCTGTTCCCAAGTTTAGCCTGCAGAGGGCTCCTGTTCCCGAGTTTAGCCTGCAGAGGGCTCCTGTTCCCGAGTTTAGCCTGCAGAGGGCTCCTGTTCCCGAGTTTAGCCCAGGGAGTGCCCCTGTTCCCGAGTTTAGCCCAGGGAGTGCTCCTGTTCCCGAATTTAGCCCACGGAGGGCTCCTGTTCCAGAGTTTAGCCCACGGAGGGCTCCTGATCCCCCGGTAAGCCCAGGGAGGGCTCCTGATCCCCAGTTAAGCCCAGTCCTCGGTTTTGGCACCGAGAGGGCCTTGGAGCCCGTTATCCTCTTTGGGGGGGTTGTAGGGCTCCAGCCGTAGAGGCCGAGGCGGGGCTGGGGCCGCAGCCTCCAAGGCAGCTCCGCCATGGCCTCCCGAGCTCCCTGCTCCGCCATGGCACCTTGAACTGCCTGATCCGCCATGGCCTCCGGACCTGCCTGATCCGCCCTGGAGGCCTTTACATAACATGTAAATGTTCTGTGTATAGTGCTCCCCACGTGCTCCTTTGCCCTTATTTGGTTCCCTTCCTATTCCTGTCCTGATTATGTTCTTTAGTCCCAGCTGTCTAGTCCCAGGTTTTTCCCATGTTATTTTATGATTATTGATCCCAGGTGTTCCTTGTCTTCCCCTCGTCCTGTGTATTTATATTCTGTCCATTTCTAAAAAATTTGTCTGGTATTGGATGTTCGTCTACGTGCTACGTGAGTGTTTGTCTGCCCTGTATTTCCCCGAAGTGAAGATTAAAGACTGTGTTTTGAGTTTATGCCTATGTCTCCTCGTCTCCTCGCTCCTCACAGTAGTGCAACGGGAGAAACATACGCATTTAATTAGTAGCCTACATTTATGTTAGATGTCAGAAATCTCTACACAGATGCATACTGCCCAAGAAATAATGTATTTCTAATGTAAATAAAGTTCTGAGTTGCATTTTAAGTACTAATGTAAGCAAAATTCCTCAGAAACAACAAATCGGAGCAAATGAGACAACTGTTGACATACAGTAGAGCTTTAAAATAAATAATAGTGTTGCATATTTCTTCTGAAACTCATATGAGACACATGAGGTCTTATAAGGAGGAAAATTAATCTGAGAAGCAGGAGTCTTGGCAAGCATCTCTGTGCTTATTTTCATTGTTTAGGAGAAATGATTTGTCATTTTCTTTTCTGTTCCTTTCTGTACAATAGATTATTTTTGCTCAACCCAGCATATTTTTCTGTGGCACAATGTAGCATTTGTGCTGTGAGCTCTTTTGGGATTTAGTGGGATTTGATTTTTGCATATCCCACTCTGATTTGTCATACTTGTGGTCTGAAATGCTGTTTTCCTGCTGACTGTTATGTAACGGTGAGCACACTATGCCCATGTGTCATGCCGTGTGTACCATACATCAGGAGGCCCATGATATTAGGTATATTAGGAAATTCACATAGTGGATATTTGCCCACAAAATTACTTGTAGGCTTTAAATAATTTTTTGTCATTTTCTGTATAAAAATAGCTGGAACAAAAAAGGACAGGTTTAAGAGAAAAAAAATTTGCACATTGTATAAATCTCACAAATTTTTTTTAAATTAAGAATATGTCCAGAATATGGATATGTTCATATTTTATGTATGCATATATCTTCAATAACAAAACAAAAAAAAAAGAAATCCATAAAGATTATTTTCATATTAAGCAGCGACTTCACAATATTTTATTCTCATTACAATGGGAATTTTTAAATAATAAATAATTTTAAATAAAAGACTGAAAAATAAATATTTTCTTATTATATTATAAAGTATTAATATTAACCCTAGTAAAAAAGTTATATATTTAAAATGCATTTATTTCATACTAAGTATAGTTTACTGACATTGTTGCTCGAGACTTACTGATATAAAAATTATAATTAAACTTTATTTGGAGTATTTCTTTATTGCACAATGCACATTTCTTAATATTAAGCCTAAAATGTGTTTTAATGTCACTATTGATGAGGATTGAATGATCTTTAAATATCAGTCTTTGAATGCAAGATATTTCAAATAAATCTGAAGTATACTTGCAATAATTCCACTGTAGCACAATCAAATATACTTCAGTATTTCTATAGTTGGACTTCAGCACTACTTCCGCACAATTAAAATATATTAGGTACAAAATTAGTTGTTCCAATTTAGCAGACTTTAAGTATACCAGTTTAGTATACCAAAAGTACATTTGCAGGGTATTTTTATTAAGTACATAAATATGTTAATGTATTTGTAGTGTACATATCATGAAATAAATGTATTTCAGATACATTTTAGTATATTTATTTTTTTCACTATGAAAGTCTTTAAGGTACTACCTTTTATTTTTATTTTTTGTCTGGATAGGATTATTTTCCGTAGTGTATTATGAGAATCTAATTAGAATCATTCATGAGCATTCACAACAATACAATAATAATAATAATAATAAGTGTCCGGGCACATTACATTAACAAGAATTTGGTGATAAAATGTGCTTAATTGTGATTAAATGGGCATGATTTCTTAATACAATGTAATATAATCTTAATGCATTATTGTAATAGTTGAGTCCTTTGATCTACATGTAAGTAGGGTCTTTATTGGTCCGGGATGTCTCTTCAAAATTTTAGTTTATGAAAATTATTGAGGCTGTGAAAGACAGTGAGTTTGGAGGAATAATAGTACTGTAACTGCTTGATAAAACTTCAGAGTCGCTTCAGAGTTTACACTTCACACCTAATTCGTTGTGAGTGGTTGCCGGGGCATTGCTAAGTAATTGCAATTTATTTGCTCTCATTGTGACACTAACAGTAAATTACTTCTTGTAAAACCAGACCTCAAATGTGACCATATGCCTCAACTTCCTTGTCTTCAACTTCCTCCCATGTGTGTTTTTAGTGCTGATAAGGATGGCATTATCTCTGCAGAGTGATGACTGCTTTTCCTGTACGTGCCAGTATTTGCTCATGATCTGAGGCTGTTTTACATTCGTTTTCTGTGTGTGTTTGTCTCCAGCCCACAGCGGAAGCCTTGAGAGGAGCCATCCAGCTCGGCATCGGGTACACAGTCGGCAATATGACCTCCAAACCAGACAGAGATGTTCTCATGCAAGACTTCTACGTTGTTGAGAGCGCCTTTCTCCCGAGGTATTAACAGATGTAATGTGTGGTTGCCATAGATTCACTATTCAAACACTGAGATACAATGACTCTGTTCCAAATGTCAACAGTTCTGTTGTAGTAGTTTGTTTAATATCTACTGCAAAATGAATTAGTACAGCTGAATATCTTTTGTGATTGGTTGGTAATTGGTTGATTCCTAACAATGCTGAATAGAGTCACTATAGTCACAGTTTTTAAATATTGTGTTAAATAATTTTGTCTTTCAGTGAAGGCAGTAATCTGACTCCAGCTCACCATTATCCTGACTTTCGCTTTAAAAATTATGCTCCCTTGGCTTTCCGTTACTTTAGGGAGCTCTTTGGGATTAAACCAGATGATTATTTGGTAAGACCAAGAAACCACACGAGACTTACTAAAACAATCATGAAACATGATGAAATGGTTTACTAGAATCATTTGTCAAGAATATTGTCAGACTCTGTCTCGTGTTTTGCTGTGTGCTCAGTTCTCCCTCGTGTTTCCTTATGCCCATATTTGGTTCTGTTTCCTGTTCTCGTTGTCTTATTATTAGTTGATTCCCCGCACCTGTCTGTCCCTCGTTAAGTTCAGTATAAATGTGTAGTCTGCCTCATGTTTCCTTGTTGAGTCATAAATGTCACCCCATGTGTGTACTCCTGCGCTCCCTATGTTGTGTTCCTCTCCTTTGGTTTGTTTAATTAAAGTCAAGTTGTGTAGTTATCTGAAGTCATGAAGACTGAGGAATTCATCTTTAGTTTCCAGCAGGAGGAGCGATTGTTCGAGCAGCATGTGGAGGAGTTCCTGAGAGTTTTACATCTGGTGAGCTGGAGCGATCGTACTATTAATGCTTGCTTCTGGGTGGGACTAAAAGATGATGATTTATTTCAGACCCGTAGCGGAATTTATAAACTTTGTCCTTGATTTAATTGGCTCAGAATTCTTAGTCGATGTGGAGGATAATCATCCTCTTCCCATCCAGAAGCATGTGGAAGCTTCAGCTCACCATAAGCTAGCACCCTCCACATACAGTTCCAATGGTCCCTCAGTTCCAGCCGCTCTTCTCCGAAGCTCTTCCCTGGTCCTCAGCCCAGAGCGGCCAGCCCGCCGGCTGCTCCTGAGTCAAGGCTACCAGCCCCAGAGCGCGCTCCAGTGTCGGCTCCAGCCCCAGAGCGCGCTCCAGTGTCGGCTCCAGCCCCAGAGCGCGCTCCAGTGTCGGCTCCAGCCCCAGAGCGCGCTCCAGTGTCGGCTCCAGCCCCAGAGCGCTCCAGCCCCAGAGCGCGCTCCAGTGTCGGCTCCAGCCCCAGAGCGCGCCTCAGAGCGCGCTCCAGCCCCAGAGCGCGCCTCAGAGCGCGCTCCAGTGTCGGCTCCAGCCCCAGAGCGCGCTCCAGTGTCGGCTCCAGCCCCAGAGCGCGCTCCAGTGTCGGCTCCAGCCCCAGAGCGCGCTCCAGTGTCGGCTCCAGCCCCAGAGCTTGCTCCAGTGTCGGCTCCTCGAAAGCGACTTGCTGTGCCTGATCCTACAGAGCTCTCTCCAGTGCCAGCACCTCGTAAGCGCTTCCCAGATCCCCAGTTAAGCCCAGGGAGGGCTCCTGATACCCCGTCTAGCCCAGGGAGGGCTCCAGATCCCCAGTTTTGGAGCCCGTAATCATCCCCAAGTATTTTTTTGAGGGGAGGGTAATAGGGCTCCAGCCATAGAGGCTGGGGCCACGGCCTCGGAGGCTGCACCGCCATGGCCTCCCGAGCTGCGTGCACCGCCATGGCCTCCCGAGCTGCGTGCACCGCCATGGCCTCCCGAGCTGCGTGCACCGCCATGGCCTCCCGAGCTGCGTGCACCGCCATGGCCTCCCGAGCTCCCTGCTCCGCCATGGCCTCCCGAGCTGCGTGCACCGCCATGGCCTCCCGAGCTGCGTGCACCGCCATGGCCTCCCGAGCTCCCTGCTCCGCCATGGCCTCCCGAACTGCAAGATCCGCCATGGGTCCTGGAACGGGCTCTGCCCTGGAGGCCTTCCGTCCGGTAACCCTGCCGAGCTGCCTGCACCGCCATGGCCTCCCGAGCTCCCTGCTCCGCCATGGCCTCCCGAACTGCAAGATCCGCCATGGGTCCTGGAACGGGCTCTGCCCTGGAGGCCTTCCGTCCGGTAACCCTGCTCCTGGAGGCCTCCAGAGCACCTCTCCCCGTTGGATGTTGTAAGGCGTGGGATGTGCCTTCTGGGAGGGGGGAGTTATGTCAGACGCTGCCTCGTGTTTCCTTATGCCCATATTTGGTTCAGTTTTCCTGTTCTCGTTGTCTTATTAATTGATTCCCCACACCTGTCTGTCCCTCGTTAAGTTCAGTATAAATGTGTAGTCTGCCTCCTGTTTCCTTGTTGAGTCATAAACGTCACCCCATGTGTGTACTCCTGCGCTCCCTATGTTATGTTCCTCTCCTTTGGTTTGTTTAAAGTCAAGTTGTGTAGTCATCTCCTCATTTCCCTCTGACGCACCGTGACAAATATAGTTTTATCTTGAAAAATTACAGCTGAACTTTCAAAAAAATCTCATTCACCACAGAAATTCAGTTAAAATGTAATGGTGATAAATTGAAATTGCTAATGGGTGAAAAATTTTTATAAAATTAATGTTAAATATAATTATTGTTTTATTTGTTTAAAATTATTTTATGAATGTATAATAAAAATGGTAACGCTTTAGAATAGGGAATACATATTATCTCAAACTCCTAATATGTTGCTGCTTAGTAGGTAGTTCTGTTTTAAGGACCTAAAATATTGTCATGCAGAAAACTGCATTAATATGTGCTTTTTAGATACTAATAAACAGCCAATATGCTAATAATGTGTGCTAATAAGCAACTAGTTAATAGTGAGAATTGGACCTTAAAATAGTTACCATAAATATATATAATAAATAGTTGATGTATAATAAATATATCAAATAAATTCTAAATGTTTATCCTGTAAATTATATTAGGGCAAAGTCATGGGGACACAAATGAAAGATTATTTTAGTAATATTTTCATAATATTTCATATGCATTTTTAATGTAATATTATTCATTAATATTTCTATTTAGCGTTAATTTATATTAATTTCAGTTGTAGTAAATTTAGTACATTGACTCATATTTCATATGTGTGTATATATATTAGTGCTGTCAAACAATTAATCACGATTAATTGCACTCAAAATAAAAGTTTTTGTTCACATAATATAGGTGTGTGTACCGTGTATATTTATTATGTATATATAAATACACATAATGCATGTATATATTTCAGAAAAATATGCTGTTTATATATTAAATATATTTATATATAATATAAATTATATGAATATAAATATATCTATGTAAATACATGTAAATATTTTTAAAATATATACTGTATGTGTGTGTATCTATATGCTTCATTTCAATTATTAATTTTTTAATAGTTTTAGATTTAGTGAGCAATAACAGTGAAATGAAACCATTTAAAACTGATCCAAATGCTCTTGCTTTTGTATTTTCTGTATAATCTACATTAATAATGCATCTTTTTTTCCTCTGCAGTACTCTATTTGTAAAGAACCTCTGATAGAGCTGTCAAACCCCGGAGCGAGTAGTTCATGGTTTTACTTAACCAGTGATGACGAGTTTATCATAAAGACCGTGCAGAACAAAGAAGCTGAATTTCTGCAGAAGCTGCTTCCAGGTTACTACATGGTAAGCCACACACTCACCACAATAATAAGGAAGAAACTACACTAGGCACTGCTATCTCAGCTCAGTTGCTCATATTGACAGTTCATTTATTAATGCAGAAAACAACTACAGATAATCATTTTACAGCACAATTAGCTCACAGTTGTTTTATAGCCCTGTTTGCTGTAGAAATACAGGACTACACTACACATTAAATATTCGGCCTGTCAGTCTAAAATGTTAATAAATTCTTCTTTTTTTTTAAAGCATAAAAAAAAAATGCATTTAACTTTGCCTCCACTATTTTCTGACAATTTTACATTAAATGTACAGTATTTTTTACACCAGTAAGCTCTTCTAATATTCTTTTCTAGATTAAAAACTGATCTGTCCTTCCTGATTTCAGAATCTGAATCAGAACCCGAGGACCCTCTTACCGAAGTTTTACGGGCTGTACTGTATTCAGTGTGGTGGTGTTAATATCCGATTGGTGGTGATGAACAACATTCTGCCTCGCTCTTTGAAAATGCACTACAAATATGACTTAAAGGGCTCTACTTACAAACGCAGAGCGTCACGGAAGGAGTGCGTCAAACCCTCCCCGACCTTTAAAGACCTGGACTTCCAGGAGATACACGAAGGTCTTTACTTTGATGCAGACACATACAGCGCCTTGATGAAGACACTTCAGAGAGACTGTCGGGTGAGTCGAGTTGTTGATCGCCGAAGAGCTCTTCAGTATTATATGTGGTTGTGATTTCCATTCACTTTGTTCCACAGGTGCTGGAAAGCTTTAAAATCATGGACTACAGTTTGCTGCTGGGCATCCATGTTCTGGACAGGAAGCTGAGGGGGAGAGGTGGGATAGGGGACAGTAAGCGCCAGGGTGGGCAGAAGGTCCTGTACTCCACAGCCCGCGAGTCCATTCAAGGAGACGGCAAAGCAGGCGAGCTTCCTCCTGATGCCGATGACGACACGTGAGTGGAGCTGCTCCGTTTGCAGAGTAAACAGAAATTAAAGACAAAGAAGTTGTTTTGTAAACTTTTACCACACGCCCTTTCTCAAAGACATGTCAGCCAATCTGATTATTTACTGTATATGTACACTACTGTTCAAATGTTTGGGGTCAGAAATATGTTTTGAAAGAAGTTAATATTTTTATTAAGTAAGGATGCATTAAATAGATTGAAAGTGGCCGTTATCATGTAGGAGTGGGAGATATACCGGTAGACACGATTAACCGGTAGAAATTTTGGATTTTCTATCGCGGTTACATGCTCACATGATGTTGCTGTGCTGCATGCTCATGAAAACTTATCGTTTGCATGCGTTTTTAAGCATTGCAGATTAAAAAAAAGTGATTTTAAGCTGTTGAAACGCAATCAGCAGCAAAAGAGAACTCATTTGGCTATATTGCTGTCTGAGAGACTGTTTCTAAGTGCTGTCAGAGAGGTGCACACACGTGAAGACGCAAGACGGTGATCAAAGAGTTATTTTAAAGGCCTTGAAGGGTTAACTACACACACTTGTATGTGTCAAAATGCCCATCTTTGCAAGTATCCTCATAAACACAGTAATTTAGGTCTTAAGTGAAAGCAAACAGCTGAGAAAGAAAACATGTGTAATAGTATACTGGATCCGGGCAGCTCTTAAAGTGACAGCAGTCTAATATTCCTGCTGTCTGTCATTCATGTTAAAGGGGTCATATGATGATGCTAAAAATAACATTATTTGGTGTATTTGGTGTAATGAAATGTGTTTATGCTGTTTAAGGTTCAAAAAACACATTATTTTCCACAAACTGTACATTATTGTTTCTCCTCTATGCCCCGCCTTTCGGAAACGCATCGATTTTTACAAAGCTCATCGGTCTGAAAAGCGAGGTGTGCTGTGATTGGCCAGCTATCCAGTGCATTGTGATTGGCCGAATACCTCAAGCGTGTGACTGAAATGTTATGCCCCTTACCATACTGTGATGCCCTGTCCGGCCGAAAAAAACCCCATTAAAACCCATTATAAACGATGGCTTTTGTTGCATCCAGTGGGGACGTAATTACGGATTATAATGAATTATACTGTCTTTTTATGCGCTGCTTTGCATCGCGCCGTGTAAATATAAAACCATGTCTGCATTTGTGATCGGAGAAATGACAAACAACAAGCGCTACTCTACACTGCTCAAAACTCGCGTTTGAATCATCAGTGGCAAATTCTTTAAATATAAAAAACTTACTTAGTCTGTGAGTCAGAACAGCCGGCATTGTAGTCTACTCTACCAGGATCAGGAAACAGTCCTCCATAAAATGTGCTGCACACATCTGAATATTTGGGTTGAACTGTTCTGGAACAGTGTTGTAAATACAACTTAACCACTGATTTCTAGTCGTGTCCTCTTTTGGAAGGCCAAACAAAGTAGTTTCATTTTCATAACGAAACACACAGCGTCATACACGGCAGGCTAGAGTGAGGAATGGCCGGCGGATTCAACGAAGGAGCGTCCGGAGGGCTTGCGGCAACCACATGAGACGACCCCGGGCTGGACTCCGCTTCGTCCACGGGAAAGCTGATCCAGCGATCCACAGCGCAAAGTTGATGTATTTCCTCAGCGACCAGCACAGATCAGCTCTAGGCATGACGAAGCAGATATCGTCCTCTTTTGGAAGACCAAACAAAGTAGTTTTGCTTTCACAATGAAGCACACAGCGCCTTCACGACATGGCGGCGGCAGCAACAATACTACAGCGAGAATAAAAGTTACGCCTTCTTTCTTTGCGTGAACATTTGGGCGGCGTTATGCAAATCTTCCCACATCGTGACGTAGACATGTGGGCGTGTTTAAAACGAGGCGTTTTAGGAGGGCATGAACCAGTCTTAACTTTTATAAAGAATATCTCTTTGGGTTTGAGACTTTAGTCTTTGCAACTTTAGGGATCGTATCTATTCACGAACTGATTGTAACACTGAGAAAGGAAAACTTGAAATCGCATCATATGACCCCTTTAATCAAACAAGCAAAAGGATAAATCTCGCTCTGTGAATATTTCTTATTCACTTTTGTAACTTTAATAAGAAGAAATATATATTTAATTTACACAGTGAAGAATATGTAGTGTTTTTATACATTTTGTTACTTTATACAATGTATTATTTATTTGTTCTACTGTAGTTTTTTGTCATATTGCTTGTAATTAGTTTCTTATTCTTAAGTGACTGTTTATTTGTCTTCAGTGATCTTGATTTTTTTTTAAATTTAAGCTCAAATACTTTTATTAGCTAACAGAACAAAAGAACATAATTCAATAACGTACTGTAGGAGCAGAAGAAACCGCAACAGCTTTACACAAAACATGCAAAGACGATACCGAACAAAGGACTGAGGAAACTGAGGACGTATAAACACACAGGCTGATGAGGAAGTAAACAAGATACAAGCGAATGCAATCAATGAACCAGTGAGTTACTGTGGAAACTATAGAACAAAGGAAACAGGAACAAAACACATGAAAACAAGGTGATACAAACTAAAAGTCCATGAAAACGAAACTGAAACCAAAAGGGAACTTGACAGCAGTAAAGACATTGTTACAGTTTTTGCATTGTTACATTTATGTTTCAAATAAACTCTGCTTTTTGACATTTCTATTCGTCAAAGAATCCTGAAAATAAAATTGTATCATGGTTTCCACAAAAATATGATGCAGCACAACTGTTTTCAACATTGATAATCGGAAATGTTTCTTTAGATATTGGAATATTATTATGATTTCTGAAGAATCATGTGACACTGAAGACTGGAGTAATGATGCTGAAAATTCAGATTCGATCTCAGGAATAAATTACATTTTAATATACGTATATTCAAATAAAAAACTTATTTTAAATTCTAATAATATTTCACAATATTACTAGTTTTACTGTATTTTTGGTCAAATAAATTCATCCTTGGTGAGACATTTTAAAGAATCTTACCGTGTATATATACAAAACTTCTCTGATTATCTAACTGGTTAAAAAGGGGGGTAATTTTGAAAAGCTGGAAATATTTCCATTATGTTGCTAAAATATTTCCAATACATTTTATGACCGACTTTGGATTGGTTTTGAAGTAATCATGTGTTTTTATTCTAGATTGGGTGGCATCCCTGCTAAACACAAAGATGAGAAGTTGCTGATCTTTCTGGGAATCATTGATATCCTGCAGTCCTATAGGTATGAATCATCTGACAAAAGATGGGAATAATTACTATTTCAATTAAAGATGACTAAAAATTCCAATATTTAACATTTCTATCTTATATACAGATTTATAAAGAAGGTTGAGCACTCATGGAAGGCTCTTGTGCATGATGGCGTATGTATTTTTCTTTTTTCATGAAATATATTTTTTATATATTTGAACTTCTGTTTGAACATAATCATGATTTTCTTTGCTACTTTGCATTCTAGGACACAGTATCTGTTCATAGACCAAATTTCTATGCTGACAGATTCCTGAAGTTCATGGGCACCACAGTATTTAAAAAGATTCAGCGTAAGTTGCTTCTTTATTATTTTCAGTGAAATAGGATCATTTGAAATGCCATACTACATCTCACTTTTTTCCCTCTTTGTTTTTACTTTTAGCTCTCCGTGGTGCATCCTCGAGAAGGAAGAAGAACTCTATACAGCCGTGTAGGTCGGCCTCACAGGAAGTCCTGTCGACTTTAAACGAAGAGAGTCAAGAAGAAAGGAGGGCACAAAGCCTCGAAAACCTCGATGATACAGGTGCTTATTGATTTTGAAGAGAAATTCACTAATACACACATTTAAAATCATAGATTTTTTTTACTTTAAGGAGCAGTTCAGCCAAAAAAATTAACATTCTGTCATTATTTACTCACCCGTTCCAAACCTGCATACTGTTATTTTTGTGGTGGAGTTTAGAACATTATGAGTGTGAGGAAATAATGACAGAATTTTTATTTTTGTGTGAACTAAAATAGTAAATCGATCTCTTTGTTGAAATAACACTATTTATCCCTTGTGAAAAAAAGTGTGCTTAAATACAGAGTTCTGGCATGAAACTCTAGATGGCGCAGTCTGATAGGTCTAACTCAATCTGACATAATGACATCATATTACATGGCGCAGCTGATTGGTTCTCTCCTGTATCAGCTGCCAATGAGCTTGCTGCTCAACATTCAAATACCTGGCTTTTGTTTGCTGTAGCAGTTCGCAGCGCGCTTCAGAAACCCTCCACCTTCCCCAGCTCCACCTGTATAGATCTGCTACGAGGTGATTCATGTATGCTATGGGGTTATTCATATGCGTATATGGGCAGCAGCAGTATTTCTTACATGCTCACAGCAGCATGTTGAGGATGTATTAGCAGTAGCAAGTCTTGGTACTTGCTCTGCCGCAGCAGCAGCAGCGTAGCAGATCTATTCCGCCAAGACCAAATACATTAACATTGTCATATACATTACCGTGCCAATCCCTCTGAGAGTTATGACAGAATTGTATTAAATGTGCACATGTAGTGTTCTTCAAATATTACAAGTATATTTTTAAAAACTGTACTTGCAGATAATATAATATTAATATAAGACCACTTAAGTGCACTTAAAGAGACACTGTTTCTTAATACAGTAGAATTTTGAAAAGGGAACTTTGTAATAATGTCAAATGAAAAGATTAAAGTAAAATTGTAATCATTATGCTTTAATATGTTTTAGTATGTCAGTCAACACATCAAGAAGAAGTGCACTTATTTTGAAGTGTTGACTAGCATACTAAAGCACATGTAGAGTACATGTAGAGCACATTTGATATTAAATTTAAAGTTAATTTATTTTAAATTGCAACTTCATCATAACAAATGTGTAATTATGAATATATTTAATTAAATAGAATACGAGTTTCAAGTTTGTCATAAATACTATTCAGTACATTCGTCCGTACACGTTAACCATTTCTCAAAGACAATAGAAATATTTATGAAATTACATATGAAGATGTACTGAAGTCAGTCAAAAAAGCACACTAAAGTTCAACTAATTGCATTTAATATAAATGAGTGCTGTCAAATGATTAATCGCGATTAATCGCATCCAAAATAAAAGTTTTTGTTTACATAATATATCTGTGTATACTGTGTATGTTTATTATGCATATATAAATACACACACATACAGCATATATTTTGAAATGTATAGATTTATATTCATATAATTTATATTATATATAAATATATTTCATATATAAACAGCATATTTTTCTGAAATATATATACATGCATGTGTGTGTATTTTTCTATACATAATAAATATACACAGAACACACACATATATTATGTAAACAAAACCTTTATTTTGGATGCGATTAATCGCGATGAATCGTTTGGCAGCACTACTATAAACTGAAACTATAATACATTATTTCTGCAGTAACTACTCTTTTTAAACATATGCTAAAGTGTACTTTTGTTTCACAAGGGATACCATTCAAAACAATATTTTTACACATTCAAGATTGATAATTTACTAAGATAAGATGCTTCTTTTTGACAGAAACACGCTCCTCTCAGAAACCTGATGTAATTCCCAGCTCCACCAGACTCAACCCAGCGATTTCAGCCGCCACTATGTCTTCTGCTTCCTCTCTAGATGATGTGAAGACTGAACCGCTAACAGATTCAGAGAACAGGTGTTTACGTATAAACACACACACTTTTCCATCGGACATACGCATTAGTTCAACTAAAAAGGTCTTTGTAAACTTCCATATTTCTTCACAGAGCTTCCTCTTCTTTTTTAAGCTATAAACACGATGTGATTGGCACATACCTTCTTGTTTGGCTGATGTCACTGTGTTGTTTGTCCTCAGAGATGATTATAGGACGTCCAGCTCGACTCTTGCATTAGAGGACAGCACTCTTCCTGCTTCAAACTCACAGGCGAGCACACCCGAGTCCGGTCTGGACATCTACTTGGTCAGTATTGATTTTGGCTCTCATTAAATGACACATGATCAAGTTCCTCTGGAATTCAAACTCTTTTGTGTCAGATCCGTGTTTATGGCTCATATTGTTTTCTGTTTTAGTGATGCATGAGGCCTTCTGAAGTGGACCAAATCATCCAAACATCTACAAGACTGAGAAACAGTGGACATGCTGTCAACATTTTGCACAACGGATATCTCTAGCTGCTAATTCACATGGACTGAGAAAGGCCTTATGTTTGAAAGAGTGGCAGAGCGATTGCCACACTATAGTACTGCAGTGCCTTACACTGTCTGTGCACTTTGTACCCACTTGCAAGCACAAGGTTGTTGTATAATAATAGTTACACTCCCTGCTGTAACGCACTGGTTGGTATGCATGTTAAAGGCGTGATACCTGATTAAAGCATGTGTCATACAGAGAAATAGGTTTATTATATAATAATCCTGGTATAATTATGTTCTGAGCACTCCTGACTTGTATTGTGTAAGTAATGATTTCATTTAATCTGATCATTACAGTACAGTAACTAGTACCAAACATTAGTTACATTGTCACTAGTGAGCATGGATTGAATATTATGTTTGGTCATGTGATTTTGACGCACGATGTGGGGGGGGGGATTATTATGGTTAATGTTACTTCGTGTAAAGATTTACATGGGTTTAAAAACTTTAACTTTTTATAAGATGTATTTAAATTTAAATGTATTTTGATTAGAGTAATATATGAATTAAATGTGATTTGATGTAGAATGTTTATAGTTGCTATTAAATGCTGCATCTTCACAAGAACTTCTCCACTTTTTCTGTTATACACGAATATAGATAGCAAATTATGTGCCTGAAGAGCTGCAAAATTATTAACACACCGGTCATTTTATTTTAAGCTATTCTAATGTTTATTCGTGGTTATAACAAAATTAAAGATAGCAGTGCTCTTCTTCTATTATTGAGAAATAATAGTGCATGCTGTAGTGAATGCTACAGTGTTTTCACTGTTTGTGTACAGTCCACTAGGGAGTGTATTGGTGTTTGTCTCAGTAAGACAAATGATCTTTGATTATGAGTTTTAGCATTTGATTTTTTGGAATATAGTAATGTAAAGACGTGACTTTCTTCAAATCAATATATTATGTAAATAATATACTGTATTATATATAAACATTTTTTATTACAAGGAGATAAAGGCCCTTTTAAAGGATAATTTGCATATTTTTAAGTCTCAAACCGAATATATATATATATATGTGCTGTCAAACGATTAATCGCATCCAAAATAAAAGTTTTTGTTTACATAATATATGTGTGTGTATTGTGTATATTTAATATGTATGTATAAATACACACACACAGCAAATGTATATATTTATATTCATATAATTTATATCATATATAAATATATTTAATATATAAACATAGCATATTTTTCTGAAATATATATACATGCATGTGTGTGTATTTATAAATACATAATAAATATACACAGTACACACACATATAATATGTAAACAACATTTTTTTTTTTTAAATGTGAGATGTAGTACAGCACTAATATATATATATATATATATTACAATAAGAACACAACTCGTGTGGATTTTAAAATAAGTTTATATGATTAAACAAACATGAAAAATAGGCCCAAAGCTAAATGTCACCATAAGCATATTTGATCAGATATTTTGAGTGATTTTAACTATATAGTTATTCAAAATGACCTCTTTAGCACAGTTTTTTTTTTTTCAAATCACTTTAAGCATTTCTTAACATCTGAATTATTCACTACTATTACATCATTAATGCAGGGAACATCATTAACTTCATAAATCATCTTTAAAAACATTTGAACATTTATAAATTATTATTTTTAATTATTATTATTATTATCTTCTATCCAGACCCTTATGGTAACAATATTTCCTAAAAGATTGACCACTACATTTCAGAAAGGAGAAAGCATGTAGTCACGACACAAAGCTTTTAAATCCTCAGACTTTAAAGAGGACATATGGAGGCTTCTGGTTTGATTCAATCCGCTGGGCAGGTGTGGGCGTGGTCACGTGATTTGGGAATGCGCTGTTGCGCTCACCTGCGCGCTCGTGGACACGCCCATACCTGGAAGATTCAGGAAATCTGGGATTGCACACAGAACCGGGCTGTCCAGGCTTTCTGTTTAAGTGTGCAGTCACATACAGGTCACACCGAACCCCGCGTGCGTCTGTCAGAGTTCATGGCTCTTCAGTATCTGCTCCTCTAAAGGTACGTGCTTTCACTCTGGAGGAGCTTTCTTGTTTTTGTCGCGTTTCTCTGTTGACTGGTTTCGGTTGTCTATTGTTTTGGGCAGGAGGCGGATTCAAACTTGAGTAATGTCATGTGAACATAAACCTGCTGCTTTTCGATAATGTACACATTAATGTGAACTTCAGTGTAGTATAGTATTTGATGTCGTCTTCTCTTGAGCGCAGTTGGCGTGCGGTGGCAGCGTGTTTGAGGCCTAATACGCGGCCATTCCGAGACGTTGAACTAAACTATTGTGCGCTTTTACTTGGTAAACAAATCTATTTTATGATTAATCGATTGAATTTTTTTTTAATTTTAAGCAATTGGAAATGTATTCAAAAGAAGAGCTTCTAGCTGTAGTAGTTTCGCTTAATCTTGTTTAGGCAATTTTTCTTAATAATAATAATAACAATAACTGCTTATGTTTGAAAATGTTAACTTGTCTGACAAAGCTAAACAAAATGTAGGGCGGGAAAAAAAAACATAAAACAGGAAATATACACCGATTTTTTAAAAATGGGTTTTGAATGAAGTCTCTTCATGGCTTATTTATTTAATTAAAAGTACAGTAAAACTGTAATATTTTGAAAAATTATTAAAATGTTAAGTAACTGTTTTCTGTTTGAGTATTTTAAAATGCAGTTTTATTCCCCTGATGCAAAGCTGAACTTCCAGCATCATTCCTCCAGTCTTCAGTGCCACATGATCTTCAGAAATCATTCTGATCTGCTGCTCAATAAACATTTTTTTTATTATATCATATTTATTGAAAACGATTTGTGTTGCTTAATATTTTTGTGTAAACCGTAATACACAACCATTCAGAAATTGTGGGGTAATTAAGATTTATAGTCTTACAAAATATTTTTATTTCAATTTATCAAAGATTCCTCAAAAAATGATAACAGGTTACATAAAAATATTAAGTAGGACAAACTATTTTCAACATCCATAGTAATATAAAAATGATTATTAATAATTGAGTAACAATAATAACTGATCAAATTAAGCACCAGATCAGCATAACATTATTTTTACTGCATTTTTAATCAAATTAATGCAGCTTTGGTGAGTAAAAGAGGAAAAAACTGAACTGTAACTGTACATGAGTAGTAAATGAAACCGTGTTATTCCGTGTTCAGTGCCACACCTCTAGTGTCTTTCTGTCATTCGTCATGTCCAGGTGGGGAGGGTGAGGGACTCATAGTTTTGGACAGTGACTCAGAGTTACTCGCATGAGGACAGCAGTGGTTAGAAAGGGACAAATAACATGAGTGTTTCCTTTTCAGTGCTGCTGTTTTGGAACATAAACCCAGAATAACACGACTAACCATAATATAACTTTTCATGCATCAAAAATAATGATCCTTAAAATCTTAAAGCCATGCTAAAATGTATATAGTGTACTTTAAAGTGCAATTTGTTCAAAGCAATTTCAAATAGTAGGGCTGTGCAATTAGTCGCATGCGATTGTCATGCGCATCTCATCAGTAAAGCCGGTTCTGTGATTAGTAGTAAATCGCCATCAGCTGCTTTCAGATGGAGCGGTATACACAGAGCCGTAGTTCTCTGACAATTAGGCAATATCGCGTTCATAATCGCAGGCGATTCGATAATCATGAGTTATTACAGGTCTATACATATTTTTACTCGGTGATGCTGTCTGAGGTGTGATTGAAATATGACATGATTTATTTGAGGATTGTATATACATCTGTCAGAGGATGGCAGTACATATGTGCATTGCATAACGTAGGCGGCTTACACTGCCACGCTCCGCTTACGTAAAGGCATTAAAGACTTGGACAATAGCTGAAATACATGAGAATGCACAAAATCATTTATCTGTGAATTTCTGACATTTCTACAAGGTTTCAAACATAATGTAATAATATGAGCCCAGCTGAATCAGTAGACTGAAAATAGCGAATCGCTTTTATTACGTCAGGTTTCATAATGCATTCGAGTTCTTAATCCACTTGAGCTGACTTTAGGGATTTTCTGAACTTTACGCTGTAAAATTCATTAGATGAGCATTCTTAGAAATATCTAAGTATGTTCTGACAAGCCTGGCAAAAGTTTCTAGATATTAAGAATCGTATTATTTCATGGTGTTATTAATACTGGTGCGTTTTGGTATCTTCTGCAAAATAATGTTCAGGATCAGACTGGTTTGAATATGTTATTTGAGGCGTCTGCCTTTCATATTACAGGAAAAACCTCTGATACTGGTGCTATTTAATGTTCCTCAGGCGTATTACAGAATGTGTTCAAGTTTGGACTGCGTCTGCGTGCCTGAGCAGATTTTACATTGTGTCAGAGTGGAGCACAAAGGTCATTTGTTCATGAAGGTCAACAGTTTGGAAGTACACAATACAGTATCAGCAGGTTATGACTACTGGTGCATTTCTCCGTTATCATTAGTGGTGCTTGCTAAAGACTATTGTTCATATTGTGTTTTAAACAAACACTAAATCCTTAGTATTAAACTTTGGTGTGAGCATTGTGCTGTATGAATGACATATTAAAGGGATAGTTCTACCAAAAATGAAAGTTTGGTTATCATTTATTC